ATTCAGAGCATTTACATCATTTTTTTAGTTTATTATCAGAAAGCAGTCGTGAATACCAAATTTTTAAAAAAATGCTCGCTAGAATGGATTTACGATCAATCAGATAATTATAGTATTATTTTTAATTTTATATTTTTAAAATAAATAATATTTATAAATTTTATTTTAGATATTTACGAACTAAAGATGAGGATAGATTAACAAATCTAAATTTGGTTTATGAAAATGTTGCTAGATTTGCACGAGCTGTTGATTCATTAAAGTAAAATAGACCAATAGTTGCAATGACTGATTGTACAAAAGTTCGTTCTAAATTAACATATTCTCAAGAATTGGGTTGCATCGTAGGTTCTACGATGAGTTTTGAAGATTCACATGTTAATACATATGATGATATTCATCAAATAATTAAAAATATCTGTGAAAAAAATGAAATTGCATCACAAGTTCGATGCATTTTATTAAAGATATATTTTATTGTTAAATTACAATTTATTTGTTATATTGTTTATTTATTTATTTACTTTATTTAATTTCCAATTACACGAATTCCTCTGGTTATAATTACTTTATTACCTATAAAAGGAAATGATACGGCAAATAAAATATATAACTTGCTGCATGAATTAATTAATATGACAATACAAGCAAATTTGAAATTAATTAGCATTGCATCAGATGAAGCAGCTAGTGAATATAATGCACAACTTGAATTAATAAAAGGATATAATACAAATAATTTTTTACTTTATAAGAACCAAAATTATAATATAAATTTTTCAGCACCAATTTATGAAAACAGGCCAATAATTAGAGTACAAGACCCAAAGCATGCCAAAAAGAATGGTAGAAATAATGTACATAGTGGGGCACGTTTATTAATGCTTGGAAAAGATACTATTAGATACGATCAGATTCTTACTCTTGCTAAAAGTGATAATTTAGCATTATATATGAGGGACGTAATTAATGTAAATAAACAAGATGACAGTGCTGCATTTAGATTTTTTAATTCAGCTCTTTTAAAGCAATGTCAAAAAAATGGTATTGTTGAGTCAGATAAATTAGGATTATTTATATATTTATTTATTTTCGGTAAGTTATTTAAATTTTAACTTAAATAATATAAAAGTAATTTAATAATAATATATATTTTTTTTAAATAGTAGGTGAACTTTTTGATGCATATTTGAATCGTTCTATATCACATAAAACACGTATTATAATAGTTATGAGAGCCTATTTTTTTTATTATTGTGGAAGGAATATTTAGAAAGATGTAGTAATTTACATTCAAGTAAATGGTATTCATTTTCTAGAAGTTGTATTTCATTGCAAAGCTGGAAAATATTCATTAGTTTAGCGGAATCTATGATTTTGTTAATTATAGCTTATAGAAATTTTTATTCAAATTTTCCTTTTTTTCCATGGGAACATGATACTGAAGCCATTGAGCACATGTTTGGAATTGCAAGACAAATTGTACCGGATTTTTCATATTATGAATTTTATAAAATAGTAAATCATGTAATGTATAGAGATAAAATTTTAAGAGTTGAAAATTTGATCAATAATCAGAATAAAACATCAGCTCAAGGTTAAGTTATATAATAATTATATTTATTATTTTTTATTTAAAATTAACTTAATTCTTTATTGTTAGAATATATTTTTGATATTAATGGAAGTATTTTGTCTGATAATGAAATTGAATTATTAAGACATTGGCCAAATAATGATGAAATTGGAGATGCGATTAGAATAGCACATTCAAATGCATTGTCTTTTATGGATTATCTTAGAATTAGGCAGCAACAGAAAAAAATACTAATACCAAATGCTATTATGTCTGATTCAGATTGTGAACCAAATGAAAATGATGAACTAGAAATATTAGAACAAATTCATAACTTCGAAGGTGCCATTTTTGAAGTTACAAGACTATCTGAATTAGACGAAACTTTAAAAGAAATGTTAAGTAATGATCAAAAAAATACTGAAAAAAATGGTGATAGTGGTAGTGATAACAATAGTGATAGCGATGATAATAGTGATGATGGTTGTGAAAATAACAATAATAATGATTTTATTAAAACAACAGAAATTCAATATATATTAGAAAATAGTAAACCAACCGTTATTGAATTACCAGAGAATGAACCAGAAGAATCTATTTTTAAAAATGGAAATCTTGACATACAACAAGTTTTAGCAATTAGATCATCACATGATGCATTTTCACATTCAGATCGTATTCGTGAAATTAAACATTCAGGAATTAACTTGAATCAAAATTCTGATGATTTAGTTGATCGTAATTATGCTAACCATTTGATTACTCAATTGTCTGGCAATGATAATAGTAACTTAATTATTCACAATAGAAATAAAAGATGGTTAGGAAGAAAAAGAACAGAAAATATTGATTTGAATCAAAATAATTTAAAAGGTAAAAATTTTATTATTGTTTATTTTTTATTATTTAGAATTAATTTTTTATTTTAATTTAGATATTGGTTGTGCTAATATTTCGCAAAATAATCCTTTAAAAATAGGTGGATTTTTAATTATTTTTTCAGATCAGAAATTATGTATTGGAAAAATATTAGCTATGTATGAAAATATTGGTGGAAGACACAGTTATATTTCACGTAGTGTAAATAATATAGATGTTTTATCTTATATTTCATTAATGTTATTCATTGATGTATATAGTGGATCTCTTTTTACTAATGATTGTCATGCTGGTGGGAAAATATTTGCACATATAACTCCTAAAGAAGTGGTTTATTATCTTGGAAAAGGTGATTCAATTACTTTTCAAAGCAATTCTATGCTTACGCTAGCAGATCAATCCTTACAAATTTATGAAATTTTAAATAATTCTGAAACTCGTGAACAACTTACATCTATTTTTAATAATCAGAATAATAGCAATCTAGATGACTTTTAATTAATAAAAATTTTAATGTCCCATGTTACCGAAAGGTAAATTTTTTAGTAATGTAAAAATCTCCAATACTATATATATAAGGGTAAATTTCTTAAGAAAATTTGTGGGTAAAGATCATAGTAAAATCCTTCAAAATTTACCTGGAAGTTCATATATAAGTTTCCGGGATCCTATTACCACTACCACCATAATCACTATTACCATTAGTATAATCAAATTCAAATTAATTAATAAGGTAAATAATAATATTTTAATAAATTTACGTTATCATTATAATTTTTAATTATTTCTAATCATTTTTAAATTATTATAGTTCATTAAATACTTGTTACTATTGTAATAGGTTAGGCTATTGGGTTAGTTAATGTCCTAATATTCCATAAAGATATCAAAATTATTGTTTTAAATGTTAGTCAATGAGTAGCCATATGGTAAAAAATTGTCTATTATTTAATAGGAGATTATCGTAGAAGTAAGAATTTTAAAATCAACAATAAAATGTTTATTTAATAGAATTTTTTTAAAAAATTAAAAATTAAAAATATTTTTTATGTTTTAGATAATGCTAATGCTAATGCCACTACCACTACTATTACCATTATTACTAATAATGTCAATACCAACACTAATGCCAATGTCAGCTTAAAAAAAAGCTAATGCCACCTCCAATGCTAATGTAATGTTAATGTCACCACTACTAAAACCAATGCTAATGCCAATGTCACCTCAAAAAAGAAAGCCAATGCCAATGCCACCTTAAAAAAATAACTAATGCTACCAATACTATTACCAATATTACCTAAAAAAAGCCAATATCACCTCTACTGTCATCGCCAATGCATGTGTCAGAGTTTGAGCTAACATTAAATACTAGCATTAAATACCAAAGCAAAAAAAAACTGATATTATTGCTACTACTAATGCCAACTTCAAAGCTAAAAAATCTGATGTCATCGCAAAACTAAAGCTATTGCTACCACTACCAAAACCAATGTCAATGCTAATGTCAAAACAAAAAAAAACTGTTGTTTGTAGTCATTTTAATTTTAACTTAATTTTTTTTTACTATATTACAGTCAGACCTGTCTATAATCACCCTGTTTATAATCACATCCTGTCTATAATCACTTAATTTTAATGTCCCAA